CAAACCCCCAAACCACCAAACCCCAAACCCCAAACCCCTAACCCCAAACTCCCAAACCCCAGCCCCAAACCCCAAACCCCCAAACCCCCAAAACCCCAAGACCCCCAAACCCCTGAACCCTGTGACTGGCCGACGAACTTCATTTTTCTCACTGCCAGAGGCCTCCAGGGTTCCGTGGGCTTCGTAGGATTAGGAGTGCCTTTTCTTAGTGGGTTTAGGGTTTACACCTGGGGATCCAAAAAACCCTACCGCTTTTGTGGGTTCTACCCTCTAATTATAAGGGGTCAGAACCTACTATTTTGTAGGGTTTGGGGTCACATGTAGGGACCCAGAGAACCCAATACCCCTTAATTAAGGAATATGCCTTAAATTGTCAGGGCCTTACTATTATGATTTAAGGTATATGAATGAATTAAGGGGTATTGGGTTCTCTGGGGATACTTACCCGAACGTTACTCTACACCCTCTGGTGGCCAGACCCGAAGCTCCGGGCATCCTAAACCTGCATGCCCAGTCATCAGGCCACCCCGCCCTGCACCCAACACACATGTAACCTCCTGAACCCTGGGTTTAGGGTTTAGGGTTTAGGTTAGGCACCGAAAGCGTACTAGAGAGATCTGAATAAGTAGAAATGATATCCTCTTATAGCCCTGCCATGGTTGCACTTCAGCCAACACCCCCGAAGCCCTGCTATTGATATTGAGGCCACTACATTACCCAAGCCCTGAACCCTAAACCCTGACACCTGAGCCCCAAACCCTAAACCCTAAACGCTACATTGCTCCCCTCCCCGGGCCTTTCCCGGGGCGTCTCAAGGACGAGGTGGACGACTCTTCCTGGTCTTCGGGAGATCAGGCCCTAAGGGCTTTTAAGGGTTTAGGGTTAGGGTTAAGGTCCCCATGGTCGATTTTTAAGGGTTTAGGGTCAGGGTCCAGGGCTTCAAAGGGATCCGCTTTGAGGGTTTAGGGTTTTTGCTTAGGGCCCCAAACAGATCCCCTTTTTTCAGGTGAGTTCAGGGCCCCAAAGGGATCCCTTTTTTTAGGGTGCTGGGTTAGGGTTTAGGGCCCCAAAGGGATACCTTTTTCGAAGGGGCAGGGGTCACTTTTTAGGGTTCGGGGTTCAAGGGCCCGAAAGAGTTTCCTGTGCAGGGAAGAAAGGGGTTGCAAAGTGTCAGTAGGATTCTTGCTGAGTTTTTCCGGGAAAAGCAGATTCTGCAGTCCTTGCAAGAAGTTATATAACTCTAAAGCAGTCGAGAGGATCTACAGCACAAGAAATGGGATGTTCTAGATTGGGTCGGGAAGTTGCCACGCCAACCTAAGGCCATGTAGTCTCACAAACGACAAGCCTTTCAAAGGTTGTTTTTTTTGGTGTGGCTGATTGAAAGCACTTAGCCCATCGTGGATCAACTCACCGATGGATCCCGAGGAACTTTTGTCGACAAGTGCCTGTGGACTATTCTGGTCAAGATGACCCGGAGTGGCATCAATTTTACACCTGCGGGCCGCCCTTGCAATACGGTCTTCTTCCAGAGCATCGAGTTTAGGTCAAAAGATGGGAGCTTGAATTCTGAGGGCAGAAGATAGATAAGGAGCTTGAATAGTTTGAGTAGGGTACCAGGACTTGAAACAGATTGGGGGTTTCGCGATTAACAGTTCCCCTTGTTCCGACTCCAGGTGCGGCTGGTCGGACTCAGTGCAACCCAGGAGGAAGAGCTGCAGAAGCCGCTTGGGGCATCAGGGTTTAGGTTTTGGGGTTTAGGGTGTAGGGTTTAGAGTCGGGTTGATGGTCAGCAGTTTAGCTACGCTTGGGTGTAGGATCCTCCGGCTGATGCCAGGGCGTTGAAAGAAACGCTCTGTGTCATTGCTGACATCTGAGGCTGTACGGGTCAAGACAGAGGAATCATATCGGCGGCCCCCCTTTGAAGCCTTCCCCTCTCAAGAGAGCGCAGCAGCCCGCATTTTTGCAGTGGGTTCTGTAACGAAGGGATCGTGAGCTCGGGGCCCTAAGCCCTAAACCCAAACCTGAAACCCCCACTTCACTGAGACCCTTGTCGCATGTAGTCCAAAAGCTTGGCACATCAACGAACGCCCCCCAACACCTGACGAAGTTCGATGAAGACGTGACAGGTGAGCCCCCTTCAAGACCTTGCAAGCATGATCATTACACTGAGAGCGAAAGCCCCCTAGTCCCTCCAACCCCCGATCTCAAGCCCCTCGATCCCCCATCCCCCAACTCTCCAACTCCTGAAACATAGACCCCAGAACCCCGAACCCTAACCCTAAACCCTAAACTCCAAACCCTGAACCCTAAACCCTCGACTCGAAACCGAAGAACACCAAAGCCCCCAAACTTACTCCCCACCAAACAAAAACAGCAGCATAAAGCTTTCCGGACTCTTGAAAGCAACCCCTTATCAGAACCCTCCAAAGAAGGACATAAAGACAGCAAAACCTAGTAGTAGAGCAACTAAGCCTTATCCCTCTTGGGATCCTATGGTCCCATAATCCCTATCTGATCCCAAGGGTCAACCCTAAACCCTCAGCCCCTAAACC